TTATACTTCTGTACATTTCTTAGAATTAAACTTTACATATTTTATAATAACTTGTGATCCCTTACAAAAGAATACTTTGCTTAGATATTGTAGCACAATGCCATTCATTGAATAGATTTATATTGTGTCTATTGGGAAATAGGTGCCATTTTAACTTACAGATTTTGAGGATCCATTGGAATTTTAAAGGTCAGATGTTTTAAATCAAATCCAGTGTTACTATTTTTCACTTCATTGATTAAAGTTGCAGATATAAACAACAGGAGGTCAAATATGATTTCTGAAACAAGTTGGCATAAAATATATAAAGTCAAGATGAAATTCCATAAAGATAAATATAAGGTAATGAAGTTAAGAAGATAAAACATTTTGTATAAATACAAATAGGCCATGCTTAGCTTCATGCAAAGACCTAAGAAAAAGTTGTAGGCAACCTGGTTTACAAATTAATTATGTCATTTACATAGTTTCAAAAGAAACAAAGATACCAGGCTAAGTAAATTGTAATGAAATATGTGGATACTTTTTACCTGGTCTTCCCAGTGTGGAAAAGGGAATGATGATTAGTGACCTCCATTAAATTGAAAAAGTCCAGGTAATTTTCTTAATCAAAATTTAAAGAACTATTTTAACAAAGCAATATATTTGATAATTAGTTGAAGTGTTTAGATTCATATTATTTGATAAACCACATACATTTTATTAACTGTTAAGTGCCAGTATAAAAATTACAAATAGTATGATAATATATAGATAACTACTGTGTGGCCTTTGTGTAAAGTATAGTTCTTTGTCCTTCTGGTTTCTATTCTCTTCCTCTTTAATCTTCCTTTCTTCCACGCTGTTGTGTACTTCACCCAAGTTCCCATTCCTTGCTTAGTCAAAGTGTATTGCTTATTATATTGTATTACAGCTAATGTGCCAAATGCTTTCAAGTCACAGTCTGTTTTCTGTAAATTTTGTTTAGTTTTGATGTATAGACAGTGGGCTATATTTATATGCTTAGTTTCTATTTCTTCAGCTTAAATGTACAGAAATACTAGAAAAATAACTAATATTTATAGAGTGCTTTGTAGTTAGAAAGCACTTTCACAGGTGTTGTTTCTTTGATATTTAAAACTACCCCATTTCTCTTTTCTTAAAAAATAACACTGAATCTCTAGGAGTTTTTGATTTGCTTAAGGTCGTATAGCTAGTAAATGGCAGAGCAAGGAGTCAAATTGCATCTTCCACAATCTGCAAAATCTCTGCCAAATGACTTTCATAGGTGAAATACCAGGAGTTTATAGACTTCCTTGCTTTTGGCAGGAAAAAAGATTCTCTCTCACTAAATTTTAAAATGAAATTCTTCCCTATTGCTCAGAATACATGATAGAGGTTTCTTTTATTCTTTGATTAAGATTGCCCAACTCCAGAGACAGAGTCCTCCAAGTCATACCCACTCTACAATGGAGGATGCATTACTATGTCTAGTATGGGACTGGATTTAAGCAATAAGGTTGGCAGTCTGGGCAATGCAGTCTCACACAACAGCTAGATTTTAGTTGGACTCATCAGGGAATAGGCCCTTACCCTCAACATCTACAAGAATGATCCAAGCAATTCAGTCAGCAACCATGATTTGTGTGGCAGACCAAACATCTAGGCCATTGGCAAAAGCCCAGAAGCCAGAAAAATTGTAACAGGATTCAACAGGTACAGTATTGGCCAGAGCTATTACCACATCCTTGGGTTTTGCCCCCTGAGATAAGATCGCCTCTCCATTTTTAGTTCAGCATAGCTGGTGCTGATGCTGAATAGTTCAGTTTGGGACATGATCAAATTTTAACTTAGTCAAAACATCAGTGATCCAGACCCAAGAATTTAGGAGAACCTTAGTGAATTGAAAACCCTATCAAGCCAGTTTTGCTGTCAAAGGCAGTGGGTGGGTTGGAGATAATGTTTCCCCCTAAATTATAGCTGCCATTTTTTCATATAAAGCTGCAATGTTGCTGGGCCTAACCTGTTGCATTCTTGATTACACATTTTCCATTGAACAAGAGGGGCTTGTTGGCCCTTTCTACCTTGTTTGGTTAGTGTGAGTTGACCTACCTGAAAATGGGAATATCAAGGTAGAGAGTCATACATCTTCATGGTTCAGTACCCAGTTTCTATAAGAGCTCCAATGACAAGCCAACAGCTACCTTAGAAAAAGGGTTTTCCTGGTCAATAAGTCAGGGAGGACATGACGGCAAAACCCTGAAAGATGCCATGGTGTGAGGCTGCTTTTCACGGTCAGAGGCTCCCATGGCAAACTCATCAGCCCTAACATATGTAGCTCAAATGGGACATCAGGGTTGTGTGACTTTAAAGCATTAGTATTGCTTACTGATGCAGAGGCTTTTTCCAATTAGCAGATTCCTGCTGACACTTATAAGCATTCACACCACCAGCATGTAAAATATCCACATGATTAATCATCAATTCAGTAGTAGAAGCCATAACAACACACTGAATTGGCTCAATGGATCCCACCCACAAGGTCACTTAGTTTTCCTTCCCCACTATGAGCACTGCCTAAAACTCGTATGTTACACTTGGGTACCCCTTCTTTCCATGGGACCAAGTATGATCGTGACTTCAGGGACTGTATCCGACAGAGCCATATAGTTTGTGATTCTCCCCTCCCCAAAGTTCCCCAACATCTTCCTGGAGGCCAGAAGAACTGCACCCCCACTCCTAAAAAGCTTTCTCCTTAGAGCAGCTGAGGTTGGCATAGAGGGAGAGCAAGGGTGGGTGGGGAAAGAGGGAAAAAAGGGCTGCATGCCAATAAGCAAGGTGCATTTCTGGCTTCAAGAGGCGCTGCACTTGGTCACAATAACTTATCTAAGTTTGTTTCACAAGAATTTGTCTGTATTTTGGGGGTCAGTTTCTCATTCTGCAGTGGGTCATCTCTGTCAGCACTGTAAGCATTTGGAGTGGCAGCAGACTCAATTCTAACCAACGCTTAATCAGTGGTTTCCCATGAGACATTTGTTTTCGTTTTCCTCAGGAAATGCTTCCTCAGAGGATCGTAGCTCCCTTATAGCATCCAGGAGCCACTACAAAAACAAAACAAAGCAAAGCAAACAAATTAGCAAAACCTTCAGCTCTTTTTCTGTGATCTTCAAGTGGGTCTAAGATTGGCATAAAAGACGGTTAAGGGGGTGGGGGGCGCCTGGGTGGCTCAGTCGTTAAGCGTCTGCCTTCGGCTCAGGTCATGATCCCGGGGTCTTGGGATCGAGCCCCGCATCGGGCTCCCTGCTCGGCGGGAAGCCTGCTTCTCCCTCTCCCACTCCCCCCACTTGTGATCCTGCTCTCACTATCTCTCTCTCTGTCAAATAGATAAATTAAAAAATCTTAAAAAAAAAAAAGACGGTTAAGAGGGGCTGAACTCTACCACAGCCCAGTTATTGCCATTCTTCCTTAATGTGCATTATCTGCCCTTCCCCTTTTCTCTGAAATGAAGTAGCCCAACTTTTAAAGATTCACCTGGTTTCTGCCCATACCTTCTGTGAATTCTCCTCCTTTCATGCTGGTATAGGTACCTATCTCAAGAACTGTGGTCTGAAACAAAGTAGAAATCTGTCCTTCTAGGACTAAGTTTAGCACTAGTTGTTAAAATGGGTGGACCTGAGACTGCTCACCATATTGGTGAGTAAGTCTCTCCTCCATCCTTCCTCTCCCTCCCTCCCCATCTGCCCCCACCTAGAGGAGAATTAGTCACTGCTGCACACTGTTCAGACAGCTTTCTGTGAACCTATTTTCCAGTGGCCAGCATGCAACTGTGCCCCAATTTCTTTTCGATAACAGACAATAAAGTTGAGAACCATTTATTTTCTGGTTGACCAAACAGTTTGATTAGCATGTTCATTATCAATTATCATAGATTTCCCTTAAATTCTGTCAACCTGCATGGCTCTCATTCTTACTCTACCAGAAATCCTTGTCTCTCTCTCTGTATCCCACTTCATTGCTGAAACATCTTTCAAGAACTGTGAAGGGGTTGAGATTTTACCCAACTTGCAAGGTAGTAAAGTTAGCCTGCCATGAAACAGAGACAAAGATTTCATGGATGCTGGGAGAAGACACAAGACTCCCAATTCAGAGATAAAGGACTTATTTCTCATAACAGTACCAGTAGCCAGAGTATATGAATTTTTGCATACATTACATGAATCCCAATTCTTCCAGGGAGACATGAAGAGGGCAAGATGACCACTGCAAACAGTGGGTTTCAAGAGAGGACTCCTAAGCTTAAGGAACTTGAATCTTCTATAATAGGAAGTAAGCATGTCTGCCCTTTGCTTATGTAGGAATCCTTGTTTTATTATGTTGAGCAGCAAGCAAGCCTACTCTTTTCTTCAGAGTGAAACAATATGCCTTCCAAGTCTGATCATTATGCAAACATCTTTGAAAACAAAGTCCCGAACAAAAGCAGTTAGTCCTTCACTCATGAGACATGCAGATATACAAGAGATACACTGCAAACTGTTCCCTAACAATAACAGTAATGTGAAATTATCACTAAACATAATTCATAATTTTGATAAAAATTGTCATAGACTCATTTAGGAAATTAAGAATATCTTTCCTAATAAATACTTCCCATGTAAGTTTCGTGCTGTTATCTATGCAATTAAAATGAATGAATGTCTCTTTAATATATTTTATTGAAGTTCAAATACTTGTTTATATTCCCCAAATTAGCTAGTAACATTATGGTTCTGTGTTCTGAGAAGCAGTGCTAAAATGTTTGTTGAACAAGAAAGGATAGAAACAAATCATGGGGGGTTGCCTGGGAGCTGGACAGTGTCAAGAAAACCTGGCGAGTTCCTGCTTGATGTATCTTGGTGACATCGAAAGAAGGAGGCAGTTACTGATACTCAGAGGGCCTTAAATCCTCATCTGAAATAGATTAATACATGTTTACCATGTAATAGCATGCTTTAGATAAGAGATCTAACAAGTATTGTATTTGGTAACATCTGCTTTTATTTAATTGTAGTAGTGACTTAATAGGGTCCATATGGAGTGAGGAGAGTTGTTTCACAAAATTACATATTGAAACCCTGTTTTGGAGGGATGGAACAGTACTTTTCCCTTCAAAGGTGGCACTTTATAGTAATTTACTTCTTACTAGCTAAAAACTACCATTTTTTACACAATTTAGATCGTAAATTCTGATTTAAGGTAGTGATTTCATTAACAACACATTTTGTGAATTTGTAATTATTTTTACAATTGTGCTCAGCATATAAGCATATAATCAAGCAAATATTTTTTAAATATAATGAAAAGGAATAATGATGTCTTGATAACAAAGCTCACAATGTAGTTACATTTATTAAACACAAAAAGATTTGAGATTTTTTAAATTATGATTTGAGATTTTTAAAGCTATGTTCAGAGTAAGAAAAATACAATAGATGGAAACAGTCATACTCTTCAGGGGTGATTTTCATTTAAGTCATCTATCAACAGAGATGAAGTATTCAAATTTTGTTTCACTTCTGTCTTCTTCAACCTGAAGAACTATTTCAATCTAGAAGAAGTGAGAGAGAGAGGAAATCCATGATGTTTGAACAATTAACAAAAAGTAATCTTTTTACATAGGCTCATGTGTTCTATATCCTCAAATCTTTGGGTCTATAGTTTCCAAATGTAACAAATAAATGATTTAATGGAAAAAGTAATGAAGTAAGAGTTAAGAGAGCAGCTGGTCTAACCTTGAACAATTTCACTCGAATTATCTGCAATTAATTTTGGGGGCTATAAAATGAGGTGATTAGAAATACACTTTTCTTCTTAAGCCTTCTTTTGGATTAAGAAATGTGTAGGCAAATTAGATTGATGAATACGTCTACCTTCTTACTAACCAATTGTGCTTCCTGTCTATAAATAATATTGAAATTATTAGGAAATATGATAATAATGATCCAGATTCATGACATTGACCAAAGACATTACTCAAGACATCTCTTTTTTTTTTTTTTAGATTATATTTATTTGTCAGAGACAGAGAGTACAAGCAGGGGGAGCAGCAGGTGGAGGGAGAAGCAGGCTCCCCACTGAACAGGGAGCCTGATGTGGGACTCGATTCCAGGACTCCAGGATCATGACCTGAGCTGAAGGCAGACGCTTAACCAACTGAGCCACCCAGGCGTCCCTACCCAAGACATCTTATTCACCACCCAAGACACCTTAGCATTTTGACTGGAGAATCACTGGAAAAGAGCACCCTACCTTATAAGGTGAGTCCTCCTGAGACATGGGCCACATGACATGGTGACAACCAGGGGTCCAACTGACCAACTGAATCTCACAAGTTCCTATGTAAGGAAAGGGGAAACTGACATTAATTGACAGTTTTTAGTTTTTACCAGGGTCATATACTAATACAAATTCCCTATGAGCTAGCTTATTTTGGTCCAATTCAGCAGAGATCTTAACATATAACAGCAAGTAAATGGAGGAGCCAGGTGTCTTCCCCATTTACCTGACATCAAACCTTGTTTTCTATGCACTAAGTCACACTTCTACTAAATAAACAATTAAATGAAATAACATGGCTCTTCTGGATGTCTCTTATCTCTTTGAATAGGTTTCACAGCTAGCTCCTTGAGGATAAAGATCAAGGCTTATTCATTACAGTACCTAGAGCCTAGCACAAAATCTGCACACACTAAGTGCTTATTAAATAACTCTTGCATGGAAATAAGACCATATCAAAAATTTATGGAATGTAAGAGTATTTTTCTCTTCAGTGTAAAAGATTTTTATTTAGATGAACACTTGCACCTCTCACTAGTTTTCTACTTGATATACAAATCCAGAATGTTGAGATGTTTCAACGTGTAATAAGTATGGGGAAAATGGTTTGAGAAAATAGAAAAACTAGATGAATTCCTGAGTACCAGCATAAATATTTTCATGGATTATTTAGGAATTAATAGCTTAATTTATTCTCATTTGCCTGTTTAATTAAAAATAAAAATGACGGGCGCCTGGGTGGCTCAGTTGGTTAAGCAACTGCCTTCGGCTCAGGTCAAGATCCTGGAGTCCTGGGATCGAGTCCCACATCAGGCTCCCTGCTCAGCAGGGAGTCTGCTTCTCCCTCTGACCCTCCTCCCTCTCATGCTCTCTGTCTCTCATTCTCTCTCTCGCAAATAAATAAATAAAAAATCTTAAAAAATAAAAAAATAAAATAAAAAAAAATAAATGACTCAGGGTGCCTAGCTGGCTCAGTCGGTACAGCATGCAACTCTTGATCTTGCGGTTGTGAGTCTGAGCCCCACATTGGGTTCAGAGATTATTTAAGAAAATAAAAATATTTTTTAAAAAGTATAAAAAATTAAAAATATAAAAATAAGTCTATTATCAATACATGCTATATTAAAAGCATTAAAAAGAGAAAGGGTATCATAATGGTGTAGATGAAAGACTTGAAAACTTGAAAAAATTCAATGAGAATGGACTGGAAAGCAACAAATGGTTGACTAAAGAAAAATTATTATATATGAAAGATAAAGGAGATCCATCATGCACATATTTCTGAATAGGGAATAAAACAAATGAAACAAAAATACTCAATGATATGGCAGAAGGAAATTTGCTGAAATAATGATACCTCTGAATTTTACCAGATTAAGCAGGTGCAACACATTCTGGAGAAATTGACCCCCCCCCCAAAAAAGTGAACAGGCTTCCAAAATCAAAACACAATAAAATTACAGATTTTTGAGGTATAATAGATATATAAAGAACTATACATATTTAATGTGTACAATTTGATGAATTTGGACATATGGAAACACCTCTGATACCCATGATCACTATCAAGGTAATGGACATATCTAATTTAATCTCCCAGACTTTTCCTTGTATCTTTTTGCACATAACTCACTCCTAAGTATTTTAACATAAATCATTCTTGTCTTTTCCATTAGAATGAGATTATGATAAGGATATTCTCTAATCTTTTCACTAGTTGTATTCTAAAACATAGTTAAGTTGGGACTGCTGTCCATGAATTCATTACCATGCAAGTCACACACCTCTACTGCATTTTGTTTTAACTCATCTCTTCTATATTGAATCTGCCTCCTGATTAAATAAATCTATTGGTTGGAATGCTAATTTTGCTACATGAAATAAATATGGGCTTTTTGTTGGAAAACATAGGGTTGAAGCATGACTACCCCTCTACTTGCTATGTGATTTTAGGCAAGTACCATTAAAAGCTGCAGATCTGTGGCAAGCAAGATTTGTGTCCTTGGTGGTCATCTGAATTAAAAATGGTTTTGCCATCACCTTCTTAATTTCTACTCTTAGAATTCTATAGAGTTAGCCAATTAATCATACGAATCTAATGTGGCACACTATATGCATGCTCATGGTAGTTCCTGAGAATGAAAGACGCACCCAATTATATCTTCACAGGAACTGCAGCTGATTTAAGTCACTGGATCTCCAGTTCTGTCAAGACTTCCATTCCTATTGCTATTACCTATGCTCTTGGCAACTTCTTTGATCTTTTCTCCATCATTTCCCTTTTGTTCTTTTTGCTTTCTTTTTGTTTCTCACATAATTCTCGGTTTTTGTACAATTGCTTGTTTTTATGAGTATTGCTTTACACCTGGTATGAGGTATACCAATTTCTTTTTTATTTCTTTTTTAAATTTTATTTATTATGTTATGTTAGTCACCATATAATACATCATTAGTTTTTGATGTAGTGATCCACACTTCATTGTTTTCGTATAACACCCAGTGCTCCATGATGTACCTGCCCTCCTTAATACTGATCAGCAGGCTAACCCATCCCCCCAAACCCCTCCCCTCTAACACCCTCAGTTTGTTTCCCAAAGTCCATAGTCTCTCTTGGTTCATCTCTCCCTCCGATTTCCCCCCCTTCATTTTTCCCTTCTTTCTCCTAAAGTCCTCCATGCTATTCCTTATGTTCCACAAATAAGTGAAACCATATGATAATTGACTTTCTCTGCTTGACTTATTTCACTTAGCATAATCTCCTCTGGTCCCATCCATGTTGATGTAAAAGTTGGGTATTCATCCTTTCTGATGACTGAGTAATATTCCATTGTACATATGGACCACATCTTCTTTATCCATTCATCTGTTGAAGGGCATCTCGGCTCTTTCCACAGTTTGGCTATTGTGGACATTGCTGCTATGAACATTGGGGTGCATATGGCCCTTCTTTTCACTACATCTGTGTCTTTGGGGTAAATACCCAGGAGTGCAGTTGCTGGGTCATAGGGTAGCTCTATTTTTAATTTTTGAGGAACCCCCACACAAAAGTGGCTGTACCAACTTGCATTCCCACCAACAGTGTAAGAGGGTTTCTTTCTCCACAACCTCTCCAACATTTGTTGTTTCTTTCCCTGTCCATTTTTGTCGTTCTAACTGGTGTAAGGTGGTATCTCAATGTGGTTTTGATTTGAGTTTCCCTGATGGCTAATGATAATGAACATGTGTCTGTTAGCCATTTGTATGTCTTCTTTGGAGAAGTGTCTGTTCATGTCTTCTGCCCATTTTTTGACTTGATTATTTGTTTTTTGGGTGTTGAGTTTGAGAATTAATTTATAGATCTTGGAAATCAGTGCTTTGTCTGTAGTGTCATTTGCAAATATCTTTTCCCATTCTGTGGGTTGCCTTTTTGTTTTATTGACTGTTTCCTTTGCTGTGCAGAAGCTTTTTATCTTGATGAAGTCCCAACAGTTCATTTTTGATTTTGTTTCACTATCCTTTGGAGATGTATCTTGAAAGAAGTTGCTGTAGCCGATGTCAAAGAGGTTACTGCCTATGTTCTCCTCTAGGATTTTGATGGATTCCTGTCTCACATTGAGGTCTTTCATCCATTTTGAGTTTATCTTTGTGTATGGTGTTAGAGAATAGTCAAGTTTCATTCTTCTGCATGTGGCTGCCTAATTTTCCCAGCACCATTTATTGAAGAGACTGTCTTTTTTCCATTGCATGTTTTTTCCTGTTTTGTCGAAGATTATTTGACCATAGAGTTAAGGGTCCATATCTGGGTTCTCTATTCTGTTCCACTGGTCTGTATGTCTGTTTTTGTGCCAGTACCATGCTGTCTTGGTGATCACTGCTTTGTAATATAGCTTGAAATCAGGCAACGTGATGCCCCAGCTTTGTTTTTCTTTTTCAACATTTCCTTGGCAATTCAGGATCTTTTCTGATTCCATATAAATTTTAGAATTGTTTGTTCGAGCACTTTGAAAAATGTCATTGGAATTTTGATTGGGATGGCATTGAAGGTATAGCTTGCTTGGGTAGCACAGACATTTTAACAATGTTTATTCTTCCAATCCATGAGCATGGAATGCTTTTCCATCTTTTTGTGTCTTCTTCAATTTCTTTCATGAGTGTTCTATAGTTCCTATAGTATAGATCCTTTACCTCTTTGGTTAGGTTTATTCCAAGGTATCTTATGGTTTTTGGTGCTATTGTAAATGGAATCATTTCTCTAATTTCTCTTTCTACAGTTGCATTGTTAATATATAAGAAGGCAACTGATTTCTGTGCATTGATTTTGTATCCTGCCACATTACTGAATTGCTGAATGAGTTCTAGTAATTTGGGGGTGGAGTCTTTTGCGTTTTCCACATAAAGTATCATGTCATCTGCAAAGAGAGAGAGTTTGACTTCTTTGTCAATTTGAATACCTTTTATTTCTTATTGTTGTCTGATTGCTGTTGCTAGGACTTCTAGTACTATGTTGAACAATAGTGGCGAGAGCGGCCATCCTTGTTGTGTTTCTGATCTTAAGGGAAAGGCACTCAGCTTTTCCCCGTTGAGGATGATATTCGCTTTGGGTTTTTAGTAGATGTATTTTATGAACTTGAGGAATGTTCCCTCTATCCCTATACTCTGAAGAGTTTTAATCAGGAAGGGATGTTCTATTTTGTCAAATGCTTTTTCTGCATCAACTGAGAGGACCATATGGTTCTTCTCTCTCCTCTTATTAATGTGTTCTATCACATTGATTAATTTTCAAATGTTGATCCACCCTTGCACCCAGGGATAAATCATACTGGGTCATGGTGGATGATCCTTTTAATGTATTGTTGGATCCTATTAGCGGGGATTTTGTTGAGGATTTTGGAATCCATATTCATCAGGGATATCAGTCTGAAATTCTCCTTTTTGATGGGGTCTTTGCCTGGTTTGGGGATTAAGGTAATGCTGGCCTCATAGAATGAGTCTGGAAGCTTTCCTTCTGTTTCTATTTTTTGAAACAGCTTCAAGAGAATAGGTATTATATCTTCTTTGAATGTTTGGTAGAATTCCCCAG